GAACATGTATCTTTGGTGATGCAGCAACGTAATATAAATATAGATTTCAGAGTTTTATTTGGAGATATTTTTATTGTGCCTTTCTTGGGTCCGGCCTTGAGATAATTGACAGCGAAATGTGCAGCCCGGGGTGGGGAAATTTGGTTGCAAAAAAAAACAAACAAATAAACAATCCAGCTTCGAATAACAGAGGAATCTTGATAGCAGCTGCATTTCATTTTGTGGCAGCAGTGGAAGAACACCTGCCCAATAGTAAACAAGACTCTACGGAGCGTACACTTCGGCCTCGTGGTTGAGGAACTAATTAATTGTAAATGCGGAGGAATAGTAAGAAATGAAATATGGTAAGAGTGTTGTCAGGACAACATCCAAGAGACCTACTTGCCAAAACTAGCATTTTGAGATATTGTCTCTGAGATGTCAGCCCAGTTATGCTCTGATGACTCCATACAAATCCTTCTAAATTTGACTTGGTTCTAAACGTTTAGACCTAAGTAAAGTATGAGGTTACTGGCGGTGAATAACAAGTCTAACAAAAAAAACAGTGAAAAAAGAATTCTCTATTTTTCTTAGGCAAATCAGGGTTCAAAAACAGCATAGCAGTCTCATGTACTGATTAAAAATATGTAAGGCATGGGTAAGGAGTCAATTACGCTGAGCTAAAACTCAAGTTCGAGTTCGAATGTTTTGAGATTATTCACTGACTATCAGCACGCAGGGATGTCGGATTAACACAAGGAAGTTTAATACCACAGGAACATATCCTTTACAGAGCTTTAAAACACAGCATCTGCCAACACAAACTTGACTTGAACTTAATTTAATAAACTAAACAGGCTCTGCCAATAATAACAAACTCTCACTTGAACTTCAGATATCTTACGGCTTCCGCCAACTTGTAAACGCAGAACTTGAAAATCGACCTTCGTCACACTTGACTAAACACAGCAGTCAAGCTCGGGGGAAAAACCCTTGTTCGTCAAAACAACTCGCTTGGAACTTGTACACAGTTTGACATAAGGTTCTAGAAAATACTAAACTGGCGAATAGTAGTAGCTTTTCGACATATTTTATGATTTCAATAACTGATGCAAAACTGCTGATTCATGCTGAAATGTAAACATGCCCTAATTAATTATTCATAAATAATTAAAAAACGTAGAGAACGTTCGAGAAAGTCACGCAACGCATGAAAGCAATTTTACTACGTAACACTCAAAAAAGACAAAATGTCTTTGTGCAGCATTTTGTAACTTTAAATTCATCATGAAACAGCTCGAAAGTAAGGCTCACTGGTGAAATGTTTTTCAACACTCGAAGAGAAATTTCGTGACTAAACTCGAAGTGATCTCAAGATATCACGAAGTGGTCATGTCTCATTTCGTGAAATAGCCGAAACAATCCGAAAAGTTACGAACTTGCACGCCCAATCTTGTCCCGAAACTAGTGCATCATTTCGGAACTATTTTTCATATCTCGAAGTACCCTGGGTCGCAGTAGCGCAATCGGCTAATCCCTCAACTTAGAGTATCCTCTGATCTGACGGGTCACACAGGTAAGTCGCTTCAAACCACGGGAAAGCCGAAATAATAATTCTTTCTTCCTCGAAAAAGTTAAAGAATAAATCAAAGAAATCGAAGTGATCTCGAGATATCTCGAGCTAATTCGGCTCTCACTTCGTCAAATAGCCCAATAAAACCGAAAACCTAGACACTTTGGGTGCCCAATCTTGTAAAAAAAAAGTTAACTTTGATACATTCCTGAGCGTACTAAATCCTTTACTTCGCGCTCCGCCGAAGTAAAAATTTGAAAGGTTAAAAGATTTTATTGAAGTCCGCCATAAGACCCTGCTTTAAACTGGCAAAACCAATAAAAAACGCAGCCATCGATGAATCCCTTTGCGACACTTTCCTTGACGAAAAACAAATAGACAATGTAGTTTTGAAAAATGGAAGAAGAACCTTGACAGCAGTCGGCACGTAGTCTGTCGGCGAACAAATTTCTATGAGATGCTGGATAAACGCATGGATTCACTTTTCAAACTTTTGACCAAGGGTGGGGCAGAGACTAGGTTGCTCTTGGAGCGTGTCTAATAGCGTGATCAAGCAAAAAGCAAAGTTTTTTCCGTGATCAAGCAAAAACCGAAGTTTTTTCCGCTAAATCTTGTCGTCAGTCGAGCACAAGAAACATCAATCTAAATTTTGCACAAGAGCTTTGGTTGCCCCTAAAATGGTTAATTTTGAGCTAAACCAAAACGCAAGGCACACGACTGTCATTCCCTTCCCTGCCCTACTGGGGTTATTACCCCAACCCTCAGAGTCTGTACGGACGGTCATTCGGGCGTACGCTGAAGTTATAACCAAATTTCTCGGATCCATAGGTTCCCAATTTTCCTTTATTAGCTATGGGGCTTCGCGCGCGCCGACGCTCGCTGCGCTGTTAGTAATGTGTAGTATGACTTCGCGTTTGTGCCGCTGCTAAAACTCTCTTAAAACAAGCAACGTATACAGCTATTTCGAGAAAGGTTGTCGGAAAAAATGTGCACGCTACAATCCCGAAAGATAATATTGGATATGATCAATGTTAAAGCGAAACTTCTAGAACTTAGGGTTTTGTTTGTTTTTTTTTTTTGTTCGCGTCTACTTGCAATTAGTTGTAATTGTTTATAGTTTTCTTTTGTTATATTGTTTACTTTCTTTTTGGTGTCACCATTGTTGCGTAATGTTACGTAATCTGTCAAGTTTTTTGGTATAAACTTAGTCTTGTCGGTCAGTGTTTTTTACAATTTTTAGCGGTCAAGAACAGCTCATTCCTTTTAACGTTAAGTCAAGAAACCGTTAAGGTAAATTTTAGTCATGCGCCATTTGTACGCTTTTCCGTTTTCTTTGATGTATTTGTTATTTTGTACTGATTTCTACATTTTTCGTAATTTCGTTTTCTTTGTATTTTTGGTTGTACAGTACCGTAGGAGTGTGATTTATAAAATAAAGCGGTTGGACACTAATACGCGTGACTTCGGTTACAATCAATACACTGTTCCTGACGACTGTAGCTGTCAAACATACTTTTGTCGCTTTCCTTTAGCACTCGCGAACATATGTCCGTCGCCTCTCGTGCCATTTTTTCAAATTTCTTTGAAGAACAGAGCACCCAAAACTATCCACAATACCTTTCGGGATTGTCGCGCGCACTTTTTCCGACAACCTTTCTCAAAATAGCAGGCTCTTGCGGCTTCCGATCGTCTTTCGTGACGTCAATAAACACGACGCTCTCGAAAGCAAGAGAGCACTAAGGGACCTTTTATGTTATCGTAGCTAAAGCCAATAAATTCTTTTTCACGGCTTTAACCCATTTATTCGTCTCTATAAGCAAAATTGCTTTTTACGGTCTTTTGTTATTAACTGTTAGATAAGTAAATATAAGATGAAGCTTATTCTTTATCTAAGTGTCAAAGCTGTAAAAAAAGCAAAGTCATTTTACAAGGATTTTGTCCCAAACAAATTAAATCCCCTAGATACGTTGTGCAGATGTTCATGCTACTTCTAATAAAAAAATTTGAAGTACAAAAAAGTTAATCAGTCGCTGCGTAAAAAGAGAACTTAATGCAAAAATAGCCTTGTCTTGTGATTGGTCCAATTCAACAATTCTAAACCAAATATTCAAATAATTTCACGAAGAGGGCAGGATTATTTAAAGGGTGAAGATTAAAGATTATACGATGTCCCCATTTACAGCCTGGCGTGTAAGCTGCTTACAAGTCCTCTTTGAACATCATCTTTTTGTGAGACAAGCCTCCATCGTCTTTTAAAGGTATCCTTCTAGAAGCATTTCCTTGCGTTGTAAGTAGAACGTCATCCTAAAGGAAGTCAAATAGAGCATACACACACGAACATAAACTTTTTATGAATTGCCTTTTTCTTGCTAGAATCCCCTCTGTCGAAAAAATAATGATGAACCACTTAATCGATTCGGGCTGCTTTCAGGTTGAAATTGTTGGTTATTATTCTCTAAGGTCCTGTGTTATTTGTTCGGAGGTCAGAAACACCCTGTCTCAAGAATCCAGGCTAAAACACTGAAAACTCCTGTGAAAAAGAGGTAACCTGCATTATATTTGGCAGGATACTTTAATTTATAAGAGAAATACTTGGCATGCGTTATTACAATGTCGTCGTCGCACTTGGCTCATAGAAAAGAGCCAACACGTACAGACTCGTTCTCTACTATTTTAGCCTAAGGTACGCGTATTTTGAGGGAAGCGAGAAAACTCAAACAAACTGTCAGTACTTTTGTATTATCTCTTTCTTTTTTTGCTTCGTCTTTTTAGCTTCTTTTTATTTCCTTTCTTTCTTTTTCGATCTCCTATGGGGCTCGCGCCCTTCTCGCGAGTGAGACCCTTACCACCGCTACCCTTACGCTTCGCCAGACCGATTTTGACAGAAAATACCCACTTGTCATGATCTGTGTAGTGGTCACTTTAGATCACTTTTGAAAATGTATGTTGACTAGCATAGGAAACGTCAAGTTTATGTAAAAATGTGAAAGCTCATAGTGTGACCGCTGTTTGTGTTTTATTTCTGATTAAACTACGATGGCCCAAGAACAAACGTCTTTAAAACACCGACTATTTTTTGCAGTCTAACCTAGTAGCCGAGGGCTTGGTACAGTGGGCTCAGTTATGACCACCGGTTTATCAAGAAAAGGAATGCTTGTACTCGAAAAAAAGAACAGTTTGTCAAGAGAGAGAACAAGACTGACTAGTCTACTGAGTTTGCGCTTTTGCAGCCTCAAAGGCTTTAAGTGATTCAGGCAGAGCCTGGTTTTCTCTTCATCGATCAAGAAGATAAAAGATCATAAAAGGAAGCTTTTCTTGTAGGCTGCGCACTATTAAGCGTTCAAGATTAACGGATATGTTTTTTTTTCTCCTCTACTTCCAACAGGTATTCACGAACAACAAGGAAATACGGAAGAAGAAAAGAGAAAGGACAACAACAGAATTCAAGATGCATGTAACATCCGAGTGTATCGCCTGGAATGCTGTATTCGTAACGGAGTCAGTTATCATCGTATCTGTCAACCTTCTTACAATCATTGTCTTTATGAGGAACAGAAATCTTCGCAAAAGAAGCACGTGCTTGGTTATAAACTTGACCGTAGTCGACATGTTGGTTGGTGTACTTTTCGGGGTTCCTCAATTCCCTTTTTTACCTTGTAACATATTTGTAGATTACGTGGAGGCAATTTTGTCACATCTTGTTCTTATGTTTTTACTTCTCGCCTCCGTGACAAATATTGCTGTGATCTCTTTAGAGCGGATGCATGCGACATTTCGTCCAATCAGGCATGGCGTCATCAAAAAATGGGTCTACGGGGTAACAATAGCTGGTGTCTGGGCTCTGGCTTTTATTGTAAACTTGGCTCGTTTTGTGGTAACCTGGACGGCCCTGGTGCTCTGGCCAGTATACTATTGTATGTGTCTATTTGTTATCTGTGTTTGTTACACTTGTATCTCAATCAAATTTTTTTGTGGAGCGCAACCTCAGCACCATGGTGGAGCCAATAGACAAAGAAAACTGACTGTGACATTGCTCATAATGACTATTGTATCTTTATTTATCTTGCTACCATTTGTTCTCTGTCTTTTCTCTTTTTTCACTGGCAATAGGTCAGGTTTATATCCTTCCCTTTTGTATGGAAATGCCACGTTTGTTTTGTCTGGTGCAAATTCTTTTGTAAATCCCATTCTATATACTTTAAGAATTCCAGAGTTTAAAAAAGCTCTGATCTCATTATTTAGATGTCAACGGAATGAAAATGTTGCAATTCCACATCAACGTTACTAAAACATACGTTGTCAAATCGGTGGGGACCCTTTCGAACGTTTTGAGGAAGGGTGTGTAAGACTTTTGTATTCTTGTAAGGGTTTAATAATATGATAACAACATTCGCACCTCTTGCTTTGTATTCTTGTTTGGTTATTTTTTAGATCAGCCGCATAGATTCTACAAGTTCCATTTTAACGCCTTACTGCTTCGCTCAAGGGTTACTTACCTACGGCTCTTGTAAAATAGAAAATCTTATGATGTTTCGATACAGTTTTCCAGAGACCATACCGATAATTTTCAGTCGCCTTAAAAGTGGTTTTTTCCTTGTTCGTCGCTATAAAATTTTCTCCAGTTATTGGTAATGGCTTGAAATTTGTGAAAATGCAGTTTTAGATAAAATCGATATTACTATGACAACAATAAACAAAAAACTTTGAGATTGATAAAAGCCGAATTTTGTATGATCTAGACCAGCTAAAACGAAATTATATTTCAAACTTTAAATTTTCAATAGCCGTGATAGTTTATTTAATAAAAAATGTTATAAATGACACAAATTATTCTTAAGTAGCGTTACAACATTCACTGTTTTGACGTTATGCTAATTTGTTCCAAAATACTGTAATGCACACTTTACATACCTCCATGACTAGTACATTTTAGTTTGAATTTATCGCATCTTTTGAATGTAAAACATTGACGATACTCACAGCAAAATGTAGTAGTCATGGATATGTCTATTGTCCCCATTAATTTGGAAAATTTAGCGTGACGTCAAAACAGTGAATGTTGTAGCGCGGATTTTTGACCGGTTCGTAGGATAGGTTTGTGTTGAAATTTCAAGGTGTTGCAGTAAATCAATCCTAATGAAAGATTCAGACATTATTATATACATTATGAAGAGTATGTGAAGAGATTTTTTAAAAAATTGTTCGAGCCGTTTGAGAGATATACAAAAAAGCGCTAAAAGTCCAAATTTTGAATGAAGTTGCCCTTATGCAGTTGGTAAGAAAACGGGTTAGTTTTGAAGTTCGCAAGAACGAAAATGAACCAAAATTTCCTAGCATTAAAATATGATATTAAGCAGCATTCTGACGCTACTTAAGAATAAATTGTGTCATTTATAACTTTTTTCATTAAATAAACTATCACGGCTATTGAAAATTTAAGGTTTGAAATATATTTTCGTTTAAGTTGAATTCAAACATACGGAATTTTTTACTTCTTAGGAGATTGTTTGCTAAACACCAAACTTTAAGTTCCTAGCGTTGCATTTTCGGTAGCTGGTCTAGATCACACAAAATTCGGCTTTTATCAATTTCAAAATTTTTTGTTTATTGTTGTCATAGTAATATCGATTTTACTTAAAACTGCATTTTCACAAATTTCAAGCCAAAACCAATTACTGGTGAAAATTTTATAGCGATCGGACAAGGAAAAAATCACTTTTAAGGCGATTGAAAAATATCGGTATGGCCTCTGAAAAACTGTCTCGAAACACCCCCTTCCTCTGTCATTAAGCTTAATATTTGTTGCGCAGAAGTAGGCTAGCCAATTATACGTTATATACTATTTGGATTAGATATTAAATTTCTCGGATGTGATAATTAGTGAGGGACAAATATAACATTTTTCTTTGAGACAAACACGACAATGATGCATTTGCTATAGAGGACAAATAGAGACAAATATGATAATTTTGATGGTAAAAGACTATCTGAATTGAATAAGTGCCTGAACTTCTTGCTAATAAATTTAAAAAAGCTCCCACTGAATCAATATATTACCAACTGGTACTTGAACTTTTTAAAGGATACAAAACAAAGGGTATCTTGCAACAACTTTGAGTGCGACTGGAAACCGGTTAACAAATGGACAACTCCAGGTAGCGTTAGCGGTCGTTACCTTTTCAACATCTTTCTCAATGATCTTAACATCACTTTAGGTAATCATGATGCGCTATTTAGTAGGCTGATGATTCGAAAATTATTGCTTCTGTATGGAAGAAGGTACATTACTCCGATCTGTTAGAGTCACAGTTTTTAGATTGGACGAATACAAATGGAATGTCTTGCAATCCAAGCAAATGTAAAGAGTTGACGATCAAAAAGAGAGGCAACCGCGATCTCTTTTCAGCTAATGAGATGATACCAAGCTGTGAAGAAGTAGAGATTTTGTGACAGCAAATTTTCAGTGCACGTGAAGAAAAAACTTATTAAAGCTAACAAATCCCTGCATATCCTTAGAACGCTGCGCAAAGAGGGGTACAATCAGTCAGAAATAGACCTTCTCTTTAATACAATAGTTCTACCTAATATTAATTACGCATTATCTGTCTACGCCGCTTCCGACGCCGATCTTACACCTCTACAATGTTTCTTAGACCACTGTTTTAAAAATCATTATACGTCTAAGCATGTATTAAGTGTTTATGATTTCCTATAGAGACAAGACCGTAAAATTTTCAGCAAAGTTTCTAATGCTAAAGGACATCAACTTTTATCTATGATGCCTCTCCTGGCCTCGTGTTAAACCGTCCAGTTACAATCTTAGGAAAGAAACTTGTTTTAAAGCTAAGATTAACAGTAGGCGTTTTAAAAACTCTTTTGTTAACCGTTTAGTTTTAAAGTATGAATATTAATTAGCTATGTAATATACTAGATTTTTTAATTTTTACTTTTTACCTTTTTAAAATTTATTACACTTACTGGTAACAAAATATATGTATTTTTATGTTTTGATGAATAAAGACTATATTTTACACCCTACTACTTAAGAAAAGATATGTATTGTTATCTTTTGATGAATAAAGACTTTACCATTATTTTATTTTTATTATTATTATTATTACTAGGGTATCTAAAAGATAGTAATGCTGCGGCACATTCTGTTGATACTGGCATTAGTTAGGCAGTGGGACGTAAAAGAATCGAAAATGACATTGAATGTCCTATTTACATGTTGGAAAGTACTAGAATAATTACTATCAGTCTATATAAAGAACTCGTGGGAACGTTGTTTAGAAAATGATCAAGTGGTTATCAACTCTGGTTTTCCCACAGTAAATTGTAGGAAATGATAGAAATTCAGATTGTTTATCCATATATTTAATATAGGGTGTACTATCTTTTCTCTGGAAACATGATACTTTTCTTGCTGTTTATTGCACTTTATTAAGTAACAGTTATTTAGCTATATATTTATAGAAAACAACAACACAATAAACAGAAAAAAAAGAAAGAAGGAAAAAAAGAGTTAGGTAGGACTCGAACCCGGCACCATCGGCTCGAAGCGACTACAACTCACCACTACACCACCGAGGCTAATTACGTCATGTTGGGAAAAGTCTTTAATGTAATTCCTTTTCCGTGAAACTTCCGCCGGCAAGATGATCGCCAGCCGCATTAATCGAGCGATTAACAGCAAAAAGACAATGTAAACGCATATTCCATGGCAATGAATGAATGAAAGAACATAATTATGCTTTTCAAAACACCGATACACCTCCTCATCTGCAACGTAGGGCACAAAACATATGTTTTGTTATCTCGATTTCCGCTGTTATTTTGAAGCGAATGGTCAAAATCACATCCATTTTCGGCTCATACAGGTTCTTAAGAATAGCATGGCATGACATTTTCTCACTTTCACATCACCTTCTAGCAAGCTGGAATTTGTATATCCTCCGTGTTGCGGAGTCGAAGAGCAAATACTCATCTTCTCGTCAGGTTTAACACCTGGACGAGTCACAGGCTCTTGAATTGAAATCCACTCCCCAAATTAACCATCGTACTCATCTGAAAGACTCCTGCGTGTCTTAAATTTGGTAAGACCTCGAACCGTGCTGTAGAAAATTTGCTACAAAGAAAACTCTGAGTCTGGGCAGCGAACTATGCGAACTTCCCCGTGTTTTTATTTGAGTTGTTCGTGGCGCAATGCACTCTGGTTAAATGCAATGCATTGTGGTAAAAAGTGTGGTTAAATACAATGCATTGTGGTAAAAAGTGATGAATTCGAGAATTCGTCGCCCCTTATATATTTTCTTTAAATTCTGATTATGTTGCTGCTCGCTCCCTTCGGTCGCTCCGCAGCAATTACAACCTACTTAAAAGTATATTGAAGAATTTCATTCGCCTTTTAAACTAGTACTTACGGTGTCTCGACAAAAGAAAAAAAAGCTTTACGCACCTTTTATTTTTCGCATGAGCCTTTTCTTCCTAAGCATTTACTTAACATAATTAGCGAACTAGGAGTCTTATACTTGCACTTTTGCATTTGAAAACGCTAGCTAAAACCACGCAATGACTACATTTTAATTTCGTACCAAAGACGAGGCCAGTCTAAAGTGATTATTAGCCATTACAACTTGCTAGTCAAGTACTACAATAAAAACATTCAATCTAAACTAGTAATTGCCTGAAAATGCTACGTGATTCTTTGATTCTGTTTTGACAAGTAGACATTTTAGCATCCCGCATATTAAAAATCAAGACGTTTCCTGCGCATTCTATTCATGAGTCATTAATTAATTTTTGCTCCCCACTTTAGCAGCCTTAAAAAAGGGTATGATTCTGCTGGGACACCACTACTTGATTGACTTCGCAGAAAAACCCAAACTACAAAGACGTTTATGGCATCGCAGGTGGCGTTATCCGAAACAGCTGTAAGCCGTTTATTCGTCTCTAGATAAGCAAAATTGATTCGTGCGGGCCTTTTTGTTGTTAAAGAATGTAAGTAAATATAAGATAACGCTGATTAGATGTCTAAGTTTCGAAGCTGTAAATTAAGCAAAGTCATTCGAACAGGATTTTTTTCAAAATAAGTTAAATCTCCTAGAAACCAGGGGCATAGCATCCATATACGCACACACACACACACACACACACACACACACACACACACACACACACACACACACACACACACACACACACACACACACACACACACACACACACACACACACACACAAACTGCAGTCAAAGAGTATAATAGCTACGTAAGGCCCAGTTCAGACG